ACCTTACCCCTTAGGCCCCATCTGGATTAAACCATTCCTCTTACCTCCCAACCAGCGAAGCAGGCCTTAGAAGGCTATTGCTGGGCTGCAGCCATGCCCTGCCAATCACCACAATCACAAGGACCTGCGTACAAGTCTTCTGGTGCCCACGCGTTACCTCAGTGCTTTAACTGGACTCCCAGCACTGGCAACGTGATTGACAACTGCGCCACCAGCTGGGCCTCAGTTCACCTCCTCTTCTGCAGCAACCACTGCCACATGGCTGTGCTGCCCAGCTGGGATCAGGCCAATTTGCTTGATTGAGTGTCCTGCTGCTGCACTGCTGTGGCACATCACCCTTCTTCTTATTGGGCTGATCGCCCGCTCCAGCCGCTTGCTGCTGCACTACCGCGCTTCGCAGCAAATTCCTTTCCTGGCCAATCGCTGCTCTGCTGTTGCTGCTGCGCTACCGTGCTTTGCAGCTGACTCCTTATCGGGCTGATCACCTGTTCTGCTGCTGCACTGCCGCACCAAACAGCTGGGGCCCTTATCGGCCCGATCGCTGCAAGCCATTCCTACCATTCCCACATGGTTGCAGCTTCTGCGCTAGGGCTTCCGCCCTAAGCGCTCCCATCTGGACTGGGATTATTAAAAAAACCCTCTCTCCTGGTTGTTTTCCTTCTGATCTCCTTGCTTGCTGATTAAGAGAGAAATTTCTTGGAAAAAAAGGCCTCCAATTTGAAGTGGAGCCCTAGAATTCACATCCATGGACTGAGTCAAAAACTGGGATATGGCCTACGGCGCAGGGTGGAGCTTTAATCAATTGCGCAGACTTAGTCCAATAGGCAGAGGACTCGAGCCTACCCACTCTCTCTGAACTCTCATAGCCACAGAGAGGAAAATTGTCCAGTTTTCATTCCTACATAGCAGCTCATAAAAAAGCTTCTTTTTGAGGAAACCCAAATTATGTATGAAAATGTCATTTGCCATTAATCTGCTATTTAGGCAGGTTCACATGAAGCTCTATAATGTGTGGTCCTATCTTTGTTTAAAGAATGGGTTAAAATGAGGCAATTGCTTTTGTCATAAAGTGTACAAAAAGCATTGTTTTCCCAACAATTAAAACCTTTGTGCACTCTCTCTGGTGCAAGAACAATATCTACTTCATGCATGATAGTAGAAATTACCATAGGCTTTTCAATTACAGGGTATGCCTGTACTGGCATACAGTCCCTAACTGGATGACGATACTGTCAGGCTTTGGTTGGGAGAAATGCCAAGTTCCTTTCTGGCAAGAGGACTGCAGCATGTGGAGCATGATTCCAGTAACAACACAAAGGTCAGGAAAACAACAGTGCCTTTTGCTTGAAACAAGGCTACCCTGTGTTCAAAATGCCAGGCAAAAATATTTAAAACATAACTATATCTACAGGCTAACAATCACTTCCTAGCCAAGATGATGGAGATTTGTAGTTGGGAAGCTCCAGGCAATATATGATACATAAGGCTATGACTATTTTGAACCAGGACCAAACAATTGTAATGGACTAATTATGGTTTGTTCTAGGTAGGTTTCCATTCCTGCTAAATTGGGAGTATATAATCTGGTATCTTTCAGACTCCCATCAACTCTAGAAATACTCTACAAAAACAATTCTGAAAATATCTGGAAAGAACCAAATTGTCTACTGAGGCATAATGAATCAACTTTACAATCTAAGCATGTATTTTGATCCAACATTATGATTCAAATCAACCCACAGGGACCTTAGTGGCTCAAAGTTACTTGAATTAGCTTCACCTGATAGCTACAATTTTGAGGATGAAAGTTGGTTTCCAAATATTTTGTTACCAGGCTAGGAACATCTTCAGTGGAGTTTAGGAGATGTCAGTGTCAGTGTTCCTCTGTTTATAAGGGATTTGTGTAGTCAGTAGGTGTTGCTATGGTGAGGTCACAGCGGGTCAGGGTCTACAATATCTTGTGATGGGACAGGTTTGAGTATGTTTTGCTTGTGATGGGGAGGTTACGTCAGGTGAGGATTGCTAGAATTGCTTGTGGAGTGCCAGGCTTCGATGAACTCACAAGTGTGGCGGGTGGTAGAATGGCCAATTATTTTTGTGTTGCTCCAATCAAACTGGTGCTGTTTGGTGTCAGTGTGGGTTAAGATTAAGGATTTGGGATCATGGCATTTGACTGCCAGCCAGTATTCATGGATCCTGGTTTTTATTTGATGTGATGTTTTTGTTACGACCCAGGTGGTCAAGGCAACACAGGTCTCTAGAGGGTTTTTTATTTCTCTTAACAAATGTTCCAGCCAACGTCCCTCCAATAATCAGTAAGGCTCCACCCCTGCAGTACCCTGAAGGCAGCCACCCTCAGTCTCCCAAACACAGCCCCGGTATAACAAAGAAAGCCCACAGAATAGGACTATGCTCACAGGGCAAGGTCTAGGGTTCCAAGTCCAATCCACAAGGCAAGGTCTGGGCGCAACACAAGGGCAGTCCTCACAACAAGAAACAGGTCCCAGAACAAGAAGCAGTTCCAACGACACATGAAGCAAAGGCCAAATGTGGGCCACAAGAGAAGGGCTAGGTCCAAAACAAACTGCAAAGTGTAATCTTCCCAGCGAGGCAAGACAAAGAGCAACAGGCATGAGTCAAAGCCAGAGAAGTGTAAGCCAAAGCAAACAATTGTTCCTGGAAAGGACTAACTCCCCACAGCTTCTCCTTAAGTTACTCCCCTCCAGGTGTTCCTTGTGAGGAGAGGTTGGGTGACATCCTCCCAAGTAGCCTCGCAGCCCTTCTCTGGGCTTGCATATACTCCACTCTCCTTGCCCTTGGATCAAGTGGAGTAGATAGCTGTTCCTCATCTGAGGCGATCAGCTGCCTATCAGCACCACTGCTAGTCAGTAGCCGATCTCCCCTGTGTCTGTGCAGGCAGGCAGCTCTCCATCTGACTGACCACATCTCCCTATGCCTGATGGGCCTGGGATAGCATTGTCCTCAGGCCCCGGCATGCCTTCCCAGTTCCAATTCCTCCTCCTTGTCTTCCAAACTGGGCTCTGATGGGGCCATGACAGTTTCTTGTATGTAGAATTGGTTGTAATTGTTACAGTTGATTTTGTAAATTACACTGTTTCTTTCATCCTTCTGTATTTTGTCTTTGGTTCTGGATAATTCCTGGTGGAGTGTGGCTGTGGGTTTGAGGCTATTGCTATTCCTAGAGGTTGGAGAATAGGGTTAGTTTTCATGTGGTGGTTGTGGTTTGGATGCTGTGTATCAGAATATGAATTTTTTTCAGATAGCCGTTATGGAGAAAAACATCAAGTCTGGCACTCTACAAGCAATTCCATCAACAGACACATCTACCTACAACCAGCCTATGAATCCCTCAGAATCCAAATCAACTGCACAGCTAACCAGAGCCAGCACTGACCCTCAACCAACCCACTCAAGCCCCCCCAGTATCACTTCCCAATGACCCTCACCAGATATAACCTCCCCATCACAAGAATCTCACTGGTGAACCACACTGTGATGACCCAGGACAAGGAATGAAGGTCACACAGCCAGCTGAGAGTTCAAACTCCCTTTTTAATTTTTTTTTTCATAAACATTTTTGAATACAGCGTTTTGTCCTAGTGTACTGTTTACAAGAAACAAAAACTATAGCTAATACTATAAAATATATCTTCCCATTTACTAATAATAGTACTAATAATATAATAACACATAAACACTTTTTTTCTTTATGTTTAACTCATTCATATTTTAGTGCTTATAGCGATTATAGTTATATACCATCTCTGTTTTTAATAAAAACATTCATCGTTTTTCTTTCTCTAACTTCTACCCCTTGTCTTTAACCACTCATAGAATCTATTCCATATCAAGCAATATTCTGAGTCTTCTTTTTCTTTTCTTTTTAAAGTTAATCTGTCCACCTCAGCACATTCTAGGATTTTCTTGATTACCTCCTCATCTGATGAGGTATTCTCATTTTTCCTGAATTTTGCATAGCTAATCCTTGCTGCTGTCAGTATATGTAAAACCAAGTCTGCAATTCCTTTATCATAACCCTCTGGAATTATGCCCAGCAGATATGCTTCTGGTTTCCAGTCTATCTTCTCTTTGTTTTTTTCCAGCCAGCTCTCTATTTTCTCCCAATATTGTTTTGCTTTGGTTTGTGCTTGAACCAGACCAAATCTAACAGAGAACTAACAGATAACAGATAATCAAGGTTGGAAGGGACCTTATAGGTCATCTAGTCCAATCCCCTACCCAAGCGGGAGACCTTACACCATTTCTGACAAATGGCAGTCCAATCTCTTCTTGAAAGTCTCAAGTGATGATGCTCCCACAACTTCCGAAGGCAAGCTGTTCTATTGGTTGATTGTTCTCACTGTCAGAAAGTTTCTCCTTATTTCCAGGTTAAATTTCTCCTTGTTCAGTTTCCATCTACTATTCCTTGTCTGGCCTATAGGCGCTTTTGAAAATAGCTTGACCCCTTCCTCTCTGTGGCAGCCCCTCAAATATTGGAAGACTGGATTGGTTGAAAGCCAATAAATTTAGAGTCTTCATCTCCCAATTAAATCTTGGATCACTTAAATGCCAATTTGGTACACTTAAATGCCAAAGTGTTTTGCAACAGATTAGCATCCTTTGCTGCCTGTCAGGCTTTCTATCCCATTTGATTTGACTTTAAATATTTTTTAAATTTTGTATTAAAAAGGTAAAACAAAACTCTCAGCAATATCCTTAATTCCAAAGATGACTCTAAGCTTCATATTGAAGTATGTGAATGTACAACCCATTGTTTTGTTTGAAAGTATATTTTAATGCCCAGCAAAAAATATCAAAAGCAAGCTGACATGGCAGAAAACCTTGTAGGAGGCTAGAGGGCATGTAAAAGAAGCTGGTGAGGTTTGTTTAATAAACAGGCATTTTATGACTGATGATCAAAAGACCATTATGTAAAATTATGTGTTAAGCAGGTTTCACAATCAGTTCTTGTTGCTTACCTGGGAAGCCACTCCAAGCCTTAACCGAAGAAGAAAGCTATGCAAATCTCCATATTTCATAAATGGAAGAATCACCATGGGCTTTGGAATCTGCTGAGTACTGGGTTCTATGCATACACCTGGAAAGAATAAAGAAAATGAATAAAGAATTAAGAAAACGAATTCAGTTTTTTGTCTATTATCTAGTTTTATCTTTACTTGTAAAGCTTTAAAAAGCTTTACTTTTTAAAGTTGCATATCTCTCAACAATTTTTTTTTTAAAACAAGTTTTATTAATTTTTAAAACACACAAATTGTCATTATTCATTACATGTTTAAACCTTTTTTCATTGTCAATTTAACAAGTCAGATAAATTATAATTCTGTTTTAAACCATTTCCATACAACATACCAAAACCTCTTATTCAATTTCTCTTTACTTCTCTTTACTCTTATTCAATATCATTATTATTATTTCATCTGTTTCTTTCTGACTTAGTTACCATTATTCTCAATCTATATTTCTACAATTTTTAACTAATTCTCCCCCCAAAAAGACATATACACACAACACACAAAACATAAAAAAAAATCTTTTTGGAAAGTAACTTGGACCCAGGTGTCTCTCTCTTCATGGACTTCAATTATATTCATGCTCATCTTACATATCATTACTTATTTTATTTACCATTCTAAGCCTTCTATATTAACTTCCCCACATATTTCACACTTCTTACTTCTATCTTAATTAATCATCTTAATTTGAATCATTATATTTATATCTTTTGTCCATTTTTTATCATCCCTTTGTCTCATTCCTTATAAAAAAAAAGAAAATAAGTTTCTCCTGAAATCATTAATCAGAGTATGATGCCTTTCTATCTCCCCCCTAAGTTAATCAAATTAATCTTTAAAATAATATCTAATACCCAATCCGATTTTGCTTGGTACATTCTATCTAACTAATACATCCAACATAATTAAGTACATAATTAGACAATAAATCCAAATATTAAAAAAAGATACTATAATAAAAATTTTATAATAACATCAATACCATAGTCTTATTAAACTCTTTAATTAAAACAATATTCTAAACCTCCCCTATTATTAGGTTTTAAAGCCAATCATTTTTAAACATTTTAACATTTTAATCTCTTATCAACTCTTAAATCATTACAATACTACCATCTCATCTTATGTACCTTGCAAAATCTTTTTTTTTTTAAAAAAAAAATTATACTTTATCCATTATCCAAAAAAAATTTCTTTTTTTCATTTAATTTCAAAACATTGTAGCTTTTCTCCACCTTTTCCCTTTCTTTCTTCTCCCAACAAACCTTTCTACCCCCCCTTCTTCTAGCCTCTGCCTTGCCAGCTTCCCTTCTCTGTCGTATTCCTTTTCCCTTTTGTTTACTATCATCATATTGGTTTTGCACCTTATTTTTCCCTTTCTTAAATGTTTTTTTAGATCTTAAGTCCTTAAGTCCTTTAATTTTCTTCTTTTCTCTTCTTTTCTTTTCTTTCTCTCTTCCTTCTTTCTGGATCAAGTTCTGAGATTCATTAAAAATGGCTTCTTTCTTTCTTTCTTGTTCCTCTGCTGTCTTCATCTGTTGTAATGTTTGTTGATAATTAATAAGCGCCATTTCTAAGAAAAGGAAAGCTTCTTCCACACCATCTTTACCATTTTTTTTTGCTTGTTCATATTCTTTTCTTAGTTCCTCAACAGAAAGAGCCATTATAAATCTTTTCTTTTCTTTTCCCCTTCTTTCTTCTTACAACAACCAGAATATTCAAAAGAAAATAAAAAAAATAAAACAGTCCCAAAGTTATCAGTCAGTCCAAACCAAGGCAGAGTTCTCACTTTCTCTTTCTGGGGTAATATCAATCCAAGAGAAAGAAAGTCCAAATCTGTTTAAAATCTTATTGCAATATATTCTAGTCTTCAAATCCTTAAGGCATCTGCTCCAACAAAGTCTTAGCATACAAATGTTTTCTTTTTAATCCTCTCTCTTCCCACTCATCGCTTAAAACCAATTTTCACCTAAAAGAAATAGGTTTCTTAATATCCAGTTATTTATTCCGTAGGAAAAGAGGGAAAGCTATCCTTTCAGCACCTTCAAACAGCCGCTTTTTTCCTCTTCTGGCAGGTATTATTCAGAAAGTCATACTTTTCAGGAATTTTATTAGATATGTCTTAGAGTCCTAGGAGCCAAGAAAAACTTTCTCCTTTCAAGCACTTTCTCCACTTCCTCCTGCGCATTCTTACCCGGCTGCCAGCTTCTTTGTGGCGGCCATTACGGACCGCCGCTGCACCGTCCTGGGAAAAGGGAGTTCTGCCGGCCAGGGAGGGAGTCTGCAGCACCCCCAAACCCTTCTCCGGATCCCCCCTACCTTCAGCTGCCCCTGCAGGGCAGCCTAGCTCCGTACCCGGCTGGGTCGGAGCCCCAAAAAACGGCTAGCGCGGCAGGGATCGCGCAGCTTCGCAAATCCCTGCCGCTCGCGAAGCCGACAAACCGGAAGTCCCCTCTCAACAATTTTTATTGCAATTTAGGAGCCACTTGATTCCAGATGATTCTGGGTGAATTACACTTTTAAAAAGCAATGAACAATAAAAAGAAATCGAATATAAGCATCCAGAAGACAAACTCTAAATAACAAAAAAGCATCCTATAAGGGCTCAATCTTTGCCCCAAGGCCTGGAAGAACAGCCAAGTTTCCAACAACTTTCTGAACATCATCACCATGAAGCCATATAGATCTCTGACTTACAATTAACATCAAATAGAATAAGACTATTTACAAAATATAAAAAGAAGCAACTATTTAAAATTGTCTTTTATAAGATAATTCAGTTTCAAATTCATTTGTTTCATTCATTAAAGGAGGCTAGAAAGTATAAACAGGGAATTGTTTCAGGAAGATCTCACAATAAAGACAACAAAATGCACAGTAATGTTCCAGTTGAGAGGAGAAAAACAAAATAGCCATACAAAAACAAAGACCCACCTGATTTATTTGGTTACTTCTTGTAGAAGATAGGATTTATGATTTAGATATCCAACAACCCCCCTTTAATATTGCTTACTTAGCAAACTTATTTAACGATATATTGTTTTTGACTGAGGTAGTTCTATTTAATTATCACAGTTACAAACAATTGATCTTCTTTGATTCTATCTAATTTTCTAGGCTATAAGAGCACTGTGATGACAAATTCAGTAAATTAATCTTCTCCAATTTAGTGTGTTCCAAATAAACTGGATTATAATTTTAGTAATTTAGCAATCTTCATAGTACAACATCTTATTGAAATTTCATAATAGATGTGTTACTAATCTACAATTGTCTAAATGTGGATAAAAATATTTTCAGTGATAATTCAAATAATAAATTTAAGAATGAATTGCTAATATAAACAGCCTCTGGAGGTTTCTGAAATGTACAATTATCTTCTGATCCATGCTTCAAGTTATCTTGTGCTTACATTTTTTTCTGTATGTAATTGATATGCAGAAAGAGTGCTTAACATGGATTTTAAGTAGTTATAATGACTTCCTTTTTAAAAAATAAATAAATTTTATTGAATTTTCACATTTAAAAACAAATTCTATATACATTTTTTGCAGTTATTAATGGCATCAGTTATTCCATTCTCCTGTACATACATACACACATATATACACACTATTTACAGTTACACTTTTACTTTTACATTATCTTTGCTTTCTATTGTCTAACCAGACATACCATTTCTCCCAGACTGTATTCTTTTTCTTCCCTCTCCTGCAATTCCATTACAAGTTTGCTCATTTCTGCACAATCCATTACTTTTTTTTTTATGATTATATCATCTGTGGGACTGCTATCTGATTTTCAGTTTTGAGCATATAGTATTCTAACCACTGTTAATGTATTATTAAGCATTCAATATCCTTTGTGTATTCACCTTTAGTTATCCCTAGTAGAAATGTTTCAGGTTTGGGTAATATCTTTGAGCCTGTATCCTTATTCCTGTATCCTTATTCCAGATTTTTTTTTGCTTTTGAGCAAGTCCACCACATGTGAAAGAAGGTACCTGGGTTTTTTTGCATTTCCAACATTCAGGTTTTAAATTTGGGTAGATTTTGGCCAATCTCGCTGGTGCTACATGCCAATGATAAAACATTTTGTACAAATTTTCTTTATATGAGGCTGCCAATGTTAATTCATCCATAATCTTTCCAAATCATCTAGCTGTATACTGCATCCAAAATTTTTCATCTAGGTTATCATTGTTGGTTTCACCGCTTCCACTTCTCTGTCAAATTTTAAAAGATAATTATACATTTCAGTTATAAATTTTTCCTCTGGTCCTAATACTATTTTATCTATTTGTTGTGGTGTTCTATCTATACCAAATTCTTCTAAGTCTTTTTTGTATTTTGTTTGCAGCTGTAGATATGGCCACCAATCTATTATTATCCCTTCCTCTTTCAATTTTTGGTTTGTCTTCAGGGTCCCTCAGTCATCCAATAACTGGCTATATCGAATCATTTTATTTATGTCCAAAGTATTTGAGTAAATCATGGCTTCCATAGTGGAAAGCCAGCCTGGTATTTTGATATAATGTTTTTTTTCCTAATTTTGCTCCAAATTTTTAATAGTGCCTCTCTAATTCAATGATTTAGGAAGTGTGAACTTGTCTTATTTCTCTTCTCCCACATAACAGCATGCCAGCCAATTTGTAGATCATGTCCTTCAAGAGTTAATAGTCTCTTATTGCTTAAGACAATCCATTCTTTGATCCAAATTAGTGCTGCTGCATGTTGGTATAATTCCCAGTCCGGAAGTCCAAAGCCACCTCTGTGTCTATTCTCTTGCATTGGTTTTAACCTTATGCATGTTTTCCCCCCTCCTATATAAATTTAGTCACCACCTTATTCAATCCCCCCCCCCCAAAATTAATTTTATAGGGACCATCTGGAATAGGTATTGGTAGCAGGTTCACTTTTATTGCTGAGATTTTCCCTACTAAAGATAGCTGTAATTTTCTTTGTTTTGCTTTTTTGATGACGTTTTTGATGTTAGGTGTCCATTTTAGGTCATGTGATATAATAGAACCTAGAAATTTGAAGGTCTCTACTGTTGATACTGTGTTGTCTAGTATTGTTAAAAGGTGGTAGTATGTGAGGATTTCTTCTAAAGTCTACCATCATTTCTATGGTTTTAAGTGTGTTCAGTTCCAGATTGTTCCAGTTGCACCACGAGGCAAGTTGTACAACTTCCTGTCTGCTTGTGGATTCATTGTCTGGAATTAGACCAATCACTGTTGCGTCATCTGCAAACTTCATTATTTTAACAGATGGATCATTTGAGATGCAGTCATTGGTATAGAGAAGAGAAGTGGAGAGAGCATAGAGCCTTGGGGGGACCCTGTGCTAATTGTACAGGTATCAGATATGATTCTGCCTAGTTTCACCTGCTGCTTCCTGTCTGTTAGGAAGCTTATGATTCACTTACAAGTGTGTTCAGGTACCGCTAGTTAGTTTAATTTACTTGGAAGAATGTCTGGAATGATGGTATTGAATGCTGAACTGAAGTCTACAAAGAGGACCCTTGCATAGGTTTTTGGAGATTCAAGGTGTTGTAGGATGCATCTTTTTCTTTTCCTCAATTTGGTTTTGGGGATTCCCCTTGTTATCTTGCAATGTTTGTATTAATTTCTTTTCCCTTTCCTTCTTTAATTTGTAAGCCAGCCATCTTCCTTGCTTGCTTGCTTGTTCAAAAAAGTTCTGCCTAATTGATTTGTTGTTGTTTTTTTGCATATTTCTCCTCATTTGGTAAATTTAATTTATGTTCAATCAAATATCTTTCCTTTTTATTTTTATCATTTTGTAGAGCTTTTTATTTTTATCATCTTGTAGAGCTTTTTCTATTCTTTTTAGTTCTTGTAATTTGTTTTGTTTTTTCCTTTTTTTCTTTATTTCTTCTGGCTGTGTAGGCTACAGTTACTCCTCTTGTATAGGCTTTTGCAGTGTCCCATAGATTTTGTAAGGTTATTTCTTCATTATTGTTTTCTCTAAGGAAGAATTCCATTTCCTTTTTAACAAGTTGTGTGTATTATTTTTCTTTTAGTATCTGAGTATCTAATCTCCATCTTCTAGTTTTTTTTTTAAATTGTAACTTTTCCAAATTAATCGTAGGGGGTTATTGCGCAGGTATTGACCATTATTTCTATAATTTTACCTCATTTTCCAATTCTTTATTCATCCAAATCATATCTATCCTGGACAGTGATTGATGTAGATTTGAATAGAATGTACATCCCCTTTCTTTCCCATTTAACTCCCTCCAACTATCGCTTAAGTTTAACTCATGGGCCATATAAAAAAAAGTTTTCGGTAATATTTTCCTCCTTTTCTTTTTCTTTTTTCTTTGTTACTTTTATAATCCCCATCAAGATTCACCACTGCGTTAAAGTCCCCTACCAAACAAATGTTTTCCTGTCCTGATTCTATTATTTTTTCATGAACTTTATGATAACATTCTTTTTGATTTTCATTTGGGGCATAGATTGTTCCTAGTAAAAAAATTTTTGTTGGATTTTGATTTCTATCATTAATATTCTTCCACTGTCGTCAGCATAGATTTATTTTGCATTTATTTTTTCTTTAATGTATTCTGCGATCCCTTTTTTTTGATCTGCCAATGAAACAAATATTTTCCCTAATTTTGCTTGTTCTAGATAGTTTTTGTTTTTTAATATGATTTCTTGAAGGCATATTCTGTCTGCCTTTTGTTTCTGGAGATTTGTAAAAGTTTGTTTCCTTTTTATTGGGGAATTTAGTCCATTGGTATTTATGGATATTAATTTGATCTCCTCTTCCATCCTATTGACTATACAGTTGTCTTGGATTTCTATTGGGCTGTGAATAAAATATTTTTACCCAAGAAGTACTGTTTTCTAGTTGACTCACCAAGAAGTTTGATGACATTTGGGTGATCAAAATCTTTCATACAAGCTGCTTCTCTGAGGAACTCTTCAATCTCTCGTTGGGAAAAGCTGTCCACTAAAATATAATAGAATAAATAAAAAGTTTTAATAAGAAGTTAGTATTTTAAATACAACACAATTTTTTTTGCATATGCAAAGGAAACTTTAGCTTGTCCTCAGCATTTGTTAACAGAACATTATCTCTTGTGATCAGGTGTATGAGTAGGTTATTGTGGTGAAAATTAAGACTGGCACTGTTCCCCATGATTTTAGTCAAAGGTCAGAACAAAGGAATGCAGCATAACTAAATGAAAGTTGTTGCTTCAATTGCATATCTAGAAGCAGGCTCTTTGAATGTTTCAAGGCAATTTTATAGTTTTTACTGAAATTATGGGCAAACACCACAACTTTCACGATTGAATTGTGATGACCTGTATTCTCAAACATAAACTTCTATTTTAGAAACTAAGAGATTACAGAATTGAATGCAAGATGCATTGCTAGCAGATATGTGATTATTTTTTAAATTATTCTGATATACTGTACTTGATAGAATGAAAAATAGTATATACCTTTTAACAATAGATATCTGAGTAATAGACAACCTTCTGTCTCTTCTTAGATTTTCTGGATTCTTAATTGGAAAGGATTTTCTCTTTTTGGAGGAGTTCTACAACATTGTTCAATTATCTATGTTTTTAAATGCTCCTGAATATTTCTTAAACACAAATAACTTTAGATCTGTAGAGACCAGATAATACTTACATTTCATTGTTTTCACAGCAACTTTTTGAGTGGTTCCATCAGGATCACTGAGACTCCCTTCCACGACTGATCCAAATTCCCCTAAATGGAGAAATAATACCATATTTGTCTCCATACATAAAATCCCATTTCAAAATTTAGCTAGCAAGACTTAGAAGATTCTTCAGTTCAACAAAGAACTAATGGGGATAGGCTCAGCTGCTTCATGAAGAATATATCCCTCATGTTATCGAGCTATCTAATCCCGAGTTTGCTGAAATTACATACATTCACAGGAAAAACAAAGGTAAAACATGCTTTGGAACATTGGTAAAAAGGACATAAATGATCTTAATCTCTACCATGGCCATTAATGATCTTCTACAAACTCACTCTTCCTTCTGCCTCTCCACTCCCTTTGAATTTACTTTTTGCTTCAGAGCCCAATTAGGGATAAAATTAAAATGTGTCAGGGACAGCATTTGTACAAAAAGGTGGTTGAAACAGAACAGAAGACAAAAAAGGAGGTTCACAGAGTAGGCCAGTGCAAAGGGCTACAATTATGATATTTTGAGACTTTAGTGGACTGACAAAGTGCAATTAAACTGCAATTTGGGGCATGCATTGGAAACTGTTAAAGGGTCAATCCAGTGTGACAGATATCTTAACTTATATTATTGACAATATTACTAGATATTGCAGATCAGCAGAACTTATGTAAAAAGGATTTGGAAAGGGGTATGGATAGAAGGATGAGTCTGATAGAAGTTGGGCGTTCTAACTGAAGACAAATTTCTAACTATCAGAGTGACTGGGTTAATGATATTTAAATATTTATTACCTAGAAATGAACATATTAATACTGTACAATACTTTGTACAATATAAGTTACAAAGAGTCTTGTGAGAGTTAACAAAGTTCTATACTTGAAAGAAATCTTGAACTATAATCTTAAAGGAACATGTTTACAACATTTTTAAAGTTATATACCGGTAATCCTCATTTGACATTACTTTCATATAAAGTAAAGAGCAATTGGTTTACTTTTTTATGAAGATGGTGCAGCGATTATCTTAACATTATTTATAGAAGATAGCATTAAGATCAGCTGCCTCCTCTAGCATGGAAAATAACCTCATTTTTTATTATCAAACTGGAAATTATGATAGTTTCAAAGAAACCTTTTCCATGCTAGAGGTACTTAGAAGTCTCAGATTTAATCTTTAAAAGAGACAGTGAAAGGAAGTCTAGTTGGCCTCTTAAAGTTTGTCTGTACAAAAGGAAGTAATTATATAATAAAGTGGGCTAAAAGTGTTTGAAGCCAGTGTAATACCATAGCTACCTTATAGCTATTTTATATGTAGGCATTAGAAACCCTTGAAATGGTTTTTTTTAAACAATATCTTTTGGTTCCACAATGAGTTCCAAACTCATCCTTTGCTCCGAGATTGAAATAGTATCAATTGAAACTGTGCAAAAAGTATGTACTGTATTAGCTATTACCTTAAATTCTCAATTACTTGGGTTGTTTTGATGCCTTAAATATAAAATTAATTTTTCTTGGTGGAAATCACTTAATGCCAGCCTAGAAAATTGTGGGTTTTGACCTAATGCATAGTTTTAATGGATTTTGATTAGACCATGTCAACATACTAGAGATACTGACCTCCAACATAATTTCAACCTGTGCCCATTTTACTTTCTCCCAGTGAGACTAGAAAAAAGCACTGCATTTGCCCATTATTTTTTTAATATTGTCTTCTAAGATACCACGTTACATTGGCCTGCTCTAATTCCCCTCCCATTGCTTATTAGGCAGAGAGGTTTTGCAACATTTCTAAAGAACAGCATCTCTACAGTATGGCAATAAGGAAACTGAAACTGTAGGTCATGCTGTACTGTTTCGTTTATAGAGATATTTGGATGGGACTGAAAATACCCATCAGCTGATCATGTAGTGAAGATCTCAGAAAGTCGAGCCAGATTCTGAATGTTGGCTACAGTGGAACATAAATTCGTTTTGGGGAAAGTATAAATATTGTTTGAAGTTAATAAATTTTTCTGCATTTTGCTATTTTTAGTAGTATTTCAATTTTGAAGTATCTGTTTTATTATTTTTTATTTTATATATAAGTTGCTCTGGATCATGACTATAATAAAGTAACAAACTAAGTGATCCAATAAAAATATATATTTTAATTTACAAATGTCCTGTCTATTTGTTTAATACAAGCTGCTCTTTGGAACATGTTTGATTGGTAATTCTCTAAGGGAATTGGCTTGCAAATGAAATGTTTTTACCATGTGAATTTGAGTTGCTTGACACAGCTTATGCAGGATGAGGAAAGAAATCTTGCTTGACAGTTATGACAACTGCATAGATAGATGATACTCACCTTCTCCCAAGATTTTTCCTAGGGCCAAGTTGTTCCGGACAATCATAACATCCTGGAGTTTTTCCTGAAGTTCTTCACTTACTCCTAGGCTACCCACTGGAAAAGTAATGTACAAATGAGATATGAGGCACATATCTTTAATATATGGGTTTCCTGATTGCATACTTGATGCAGGAAGACACTATCAATGCTGGATCCAGGAGGGACAGAATGAATGTTCTGAATTTCCCCATATTTAGGAAATAGATAACAGTCAGTGACTTCTGTATATTATTCGGTCTCACTATGTGGTACCAATTATCCTCTCCTATATCAAGGGAGAGCTTAAAAGCAGCCTTCTCCAATCTGGCCATCCTTCAAGTACGTGACTTTAATTCCCAGAATATCTCTGCCAAGATAGTACTGCTCAAAATTTACAGATGTTAACTTCGAATATCTGGTGAGCAAATAGATTGAAGTTCTGTCTCTGTGTACAGAGTACAATAGTCTTCAGGATGATTCAGGAAAGAAACTTAATTGTTTCTCACATCGTACCATAGGAGTTGAAAACTGCCAATTCTAGAATTACAGGCTAAATTGTTTCCTTAAGTAAAACATTCCTGAATACTGGAATATCTTGCTAGCCGCAAGCTTTCATAGTCAGATAGGAGATAGAATTATGGTCCTATAAATACATCTAATTGTGGTTTATTTAATGACTAACTATAGTTTAGTATGAAATACAAACTCAGACAGGGTTTATATAGTGTACTACAAGTGGCTGAGTTACACAAGTGGTAGAGTTACACATACTAGGTAACATTATCAATGCTAGTGAATGTGGGGTTTGCTCCCTGTTTATATATAGTAGCTTGCCCTGCTAAAGTTGGTAGGGATGTGGTTTTCTCCTTGATAGTTTCTTGATTAGGGTATTGTTTTCTGTTTGATTGTTTGTCTAGTGTTAATCCCTGCTTATCTGGGTGTAGGCTGCTGGAAAGGATATGTCTTTTGGTTTCCTTCTTAGCTCTTTTAATTGCCTCTTTTGAATGGTCAGTAAATGTGGTTTATCTTCATATGTCTATTGATGGGTGAGCAAACAACCAAACTCAAAAAGCTCCAAGGATTTCACAGTTTATCTCTGAGCTTATTTTCTTCTATAGTATGTGTGTGTGTGTTTATGTGTGTGTGTGAATATGTATTTATCCATAATTCTCCTCTCATCTTACATGCTCTGTTTTATGAATGGGCTCCCTTCCTCCCTTGACATAAAGGATTGTAACACTAATCTAAAACTTACATGTCAGTTCCACAGTTCTGCGGCCATAAGATTTCTTGACTCTGTAATTTACAGCCAGTTCTGTCTCTTGTCTGCTAAAAGCATACCTGGTGGGGAAAGAAATACAATATGATAATGCCTCCATAATCCATTTATTCCTGTGAATCTTTAGGAATTTGGGGATATAGGGATTGCAGCTGCATTATGAGCAATTATTGTCTTCCTTTGGGATTACTACAGGCAGGTGTTTGGCTCAGGTTGAATCAAAACAATGAAAAAGGAAAGGAAATTCCAGTTATGTTTCATTTTTTCCCCTGACTGAGTTATATGATATACTTGTTTCCATTCATTTATCTCTGTAAACATTCAATAATTACACTTATCTTCCATATAAAAGAAAGGCTGAGTCATTCAACTATTTTAGTGAACTGGAAAACTACTTTAAATATTCATTTTCAAAATGGTGTCCATAAATAGCAGTGTACTACCTAAAACTTTCATTTTCATACTTAATTTCCCTCTCATGACTTACAGTTGCAACATTTTAACAAGAAATCAGAGCTTCTAAAAAATAAAGAGGCCAAGACAGTTAATGCAATTGAGATTCTATTTTAAAAACTGTCAGTGGAGAAGTCGTTTCAGAATTACCCCTCACAAAAACAGTACTTTCCTTCTTTCCTTCCTCTTGTGTCCACTGTCCAATTAAACTCATTCCCTCCTCTCCAACTACTCCTAGTCCCAGGAAGGAAATGCCCAAATAAGCTGAGATCACCATTTGTTGAGTCAGCTTATCCAGTGCACACAAAATGAACTTTTTGTGACATTCTAAAAAGAAAGCTTAGTCCAGCAAAAGGAATTTAAAAACACCCTCATTTCACAATTTCAATCTATTAAATGAAAAGGAGATGTACATCTAATTATAGATGGTGTTTTAATAGGTTATATTCCCTTAGTTCCTTCTGTCAACAGAATGGTTCCAGCAACTGGGCAGAGGGAAAAAGAGCCATTTCCTCTGCCTACATTTATTGTCATTGCCCTCAAATCTTCTTCAGGGAACAATTAGGGTGGCAAAATACTGTGGGATGAGATGAATAAAAGTTTGTTCACAACTTTTGATATGAGATTCTAGGCATCATCTTTCTTATGCATCATGCTCTGAAAAAGAGCTACATTTATACTTAAATAAGGTAACACACAGTAGGATTTAAAATATGATAATGTACCATTTTCTAACAAAGGGAATTTGTTCTGGGAATTGTACATCTTAAAGTGCCTGAGATTGAGAAATGTTGCTGTAAAAAAAATGGTTTTGCAGTAGGTTTTCAGCAGAGGTGAATTTCCAGAAGCATGCTACGAAAAAATATTCTTGGTACATTTAGAACAGCTAGTTATTTTTCAAAAGTTTTAAAAGGAAAAGGCAAGAACTGATCACAAGGTTTATGAACTGAGATTACAATAAGTCTTTGTTGGATATATAAAATGATCTTCACAAAATGTAACTGAAAGTGGTTCCCTCCCATTTTGGAAAAGATTAGAGATCAAAAATTTATGTGCTAAAAACAGGATATAACCAGTCATATTTTTAAGCTGATTCATCACATTACAATTTGTCAATACCAGGATGTTTGTCAATGACTTTTTTTAGTGCTATCTGTAATTATTTTACATACTTCTAAGTTACGATACACCTTCTATATTTGATGTAATGCATTCTGATTTCAGTGCTAATATTTCCTTATATCTGTGTGTACATTTGCTCCGAAAATACAAATATACTTGAAACAGAAGAACCAGGTCCAATAAAGATAATGCAAAAATAAATTACTAAGGTAGCATAAAACTCTTTGGTTGCCTGAATTAAATGCAGGCAAATTAGTTCATAATTTAGCAATCTGTGAATTCAGCAACTCATTCAACAAACCATGATTTAAAAAAATATCTTAGCACGATATGCAAATCTGGTTTAGGTGCTTCAATCTGTATCTAAGCCTGATTTACAGAATTTCTTTCACAAATTCAGTTAGAAACAATAAGATAAGATAAGATAAGATAAATTTATTGTCATTGTACTCAGAACCTGAGAACAACGAAATAAGGTGCTCTTTCACAACATACAACTGAACAACACCAAAAGACATATACAAATAACAATGTAAAACAAATTGAAACAATTAACAGTTAAAAACTATACAACCAGGATATATATATGTTAAAACCACCAGATTCATAACTCTGCATTTAACCTGATCACAGCACTTGGGTAAAAGCTATGTTTAAATCTACTTGTCCTGGCTTTCAGCACTCTATATCGTCTTCCTGATGGTAGGATCTCAAACAACGAGTGGCCTGGATGTGAAGGGTCTCTCAAGATCTTTTGTGTCTTCCTTCTACATCCCATGTTGTACAAATCCTCCAATGAGGGAAGAGAACATCCGCTGATCTTTTGTGCCCTTTTTATCACTCTTTGGAGTGCCCTTTTCTCCGCCTCTGTACAACTCCTAAACCACACACAGAGGCAATAGGATAAAATGCTCTCTATAGAGCTTCGATAAAAGGCAACCAACAGACTCTCTGGCAGTTGTTGTGATCTTAAAAGTCTTAAAAAATACAATTGTTGATGAGCCTTTTTTTCTAGGGCTAAAGTATTTGCCCCCCATGTTAGATCTTGTGATACCTAGAAACTTACATTCTGCCACCTGTTCTACCAAAACACCATCGATGTACAACGGCTGGATATCCGAACTGCTCTTCCTGTAATCCACTATGAATTCCTTCGTCTTATTTATATTAAAAATAAGATTGTTTACTTTGCACCAGAGGGACAACTGATGAACCTCATCCCTGTACGCAGACTCATCATTATCAGAAATGAGCCCCACCAACGTTGTATCATCTGCAAACTTAATGATCTTATTACTCAGATGAATAGAGGTGCAATCAGACGTATAAATAGTGAATAAAAGTGGACTCAATACACAGCCCTGAGGAGTGCCAGTATTGAGAATCTTCGCAGAAGAGATATGTTCATTCATCCTAACCCTTTGTGAACGATGTGATAAAAAATTCAGAATCCACCAACATATAGAGTCCGGTAGCTTCAGATCTTTAAGCTTAGACATCAATCTGTGGGGTAATATTGTGTTGAAAGCAGAACTAAAATCAACAAATAATATTCTGACATACGTTCCTTTTTTCTCCAAATGAGATAGGGCAGTATGAAGAACAGTATTGACAGCATCCTCAGTAGATCTGTTTGTTCTATAAGCAAACTGATAATTGTCAAAGGTAGCAGGAAGGCAAGAAATAATGTATTTCCGAACTAACTGCTCGAAGCACTTCATTATCACAGAAGTCAATGCCACCGGCCTATAGTCATTTAAAGCATTTGCAGGTGACTTCTTAGGTACTGGAACAATAATAGAAGCCTTCAGACAAGTTGGAACAATAGACTGTAGCAAAGAACGATTGAAAATCTCAGTCCACACCCCGGCTAACTGATCTGCACATTCTTTTACTACACAACCAGGAATGTTATCAGGTCCTGCAGCTTTTCTAGAGTTTACCGCTTTCATTATACACCTAACATCATGTCCTTCACAACAAGAGGAGCACAATGCTCGGTCAGCAATGGTGGTGATGATGGTAACTCCACTTCCAGTTGATTCATCTCAAACCGGGCATAAAAGGTGTTTAGTTCCTCTACCAACTCATGTTTTCCACCCATACTAGCCTTTTGTGCTTTAAAATTAGTTAACTGCTGAATCCCCTGCTAAGCTTGTCTCAGGTTATTATTAGATAACCAGTCTTCTATCTTTCCCTTGTATGCAGCCTTGGCTTGTTTAATACCACGCTTCAAATTTGCTCTAGCCGCACTATACAGTGAGGCATCTCCAGACTTAAATGCCTTATTTCTCTTGTACAAATATTCCCAAACCCAAAAAATCCTAGTAATCTTAACATGCTCAAAATATGTAACTGTCTTATAATTTTAGCAGCTATGTAAGGAAGTTTCCCAGAACTTTTCATATGTCAAGTTGGAAAAGGAAACAATGTCAAGAAGCTCAAGAAGCCTTTTGGTTTTGTTCCATGCAGTAGTGAACAGAAAAGCCCATAAAATCCAAGGCTGTTAGATTGGAAAATCTGGCTACAATAGCATGAAATATGATAATAGAAAGTTCTCTTATTTATTTCTCCTCTATCCTATTGCTTAATCCTTGCTTTCTGAAGTAAGGAATAGAATAGAATGAAATGGCATGGAATGGAAATAGGAATAGAATCTTTACTGTCACTTTAAATTTACAATAATCAGCACACATTAAAATGAAATTTCATTGCAATCATTATCTCAAAAGATAATTATTATGCATACATTTCAGGACCCAGATTGATGGGGGCAATACGCTGACTCTGTAAACTGCTTAGAGAGTGCTGTAAAGCACTGTGAAGCAATATATAAGTATAAATACTATTGCTATTGCTATACACACATATACAGTATAACACAGAGGAACATCACAGCCTGATTAGAAGGTATACATGTACATGGTGAAAAAAAAGAATCCTGCGAGTTTACAAGATGGCATAAGGAAAAAGCTGTTACAGAATCTAGTAGTCCTGCTATAGATACTTTGAAGTCTCCTCCCAGATGGGAGCAACAGAAGCAGACCATGAAGAGGGTGTGTGAGGTCTCAAACAATGCTTTGAGCTCTAAGCACATAGTGCTTATAAGCAGTATCCTGAATAACAGGAAGTGAGCTTCCTATAATCTTCTCGGCTGTCCTTACCACTCTCAGTAGGGACCTTCTATCTGAGGCACTGCTGCCACCAAACCAAACAGGGATGCAATTTGTTAAAACATTCTCAATCGTGCCTCTCTAAAAAGTGGCCAGGAGAGAAGGAGAAAGATGTGCTCTTCTCATTCGATGAATGCTTCACTAAAGATAATGTATGAAGAGACCAAGTCAGATTGTTAGTTATCTGCACCCCCAGATACTTAATACTATTGACCACCTCCACAGCTGCAGCCTTGATACAAAATGGGGTATGACTATGCCAGCTCTTTCTAAATTCAACAATGTTTCCTTTGTTTTATTAACATTCAAAACCAGGTTATTTTTATTGCACGACTAGTTCACTGAAGCCTTCACCTCCTGTCTATAAGAATCTTCACTGTTCATCCCGGATAAACCCCACCATTGCTGTGTCATTCGCATATTTCACATATTTCATTCGTCGCAAACTTGGCACAGTAGTCATGGATCATCAAGGTGAACAATAACAGATTCAAGACACAGATCTGTGATGAACCCCTACTCAAGGAGATGGAATTGGAAACTTTTCTTCCAACTCACACAAACTGGGGCCTATCAATAAGGAAATCAAGTATCCAGTTACATAAAGAAGTATTAAAAGCTAATAGGCCCAGTTTGTTCACCAAATGCTGAGGAATGATTGTTTTTACATCAAACTAAAATCAACAAACAGCATTCGCACATGAGTATTCTTCTCCTGGAGGAGCACCAAACTAAGATGAAGCACACAAGAAAGTGCATCATCTATAGACCAGTTATTCCAATAAGCAAACTGTAATGAGTCAAACGTAGGAGGAAGGCATAAAACAATAGAATCCTTTACCAATCTTTCAAAACGCTTCATCATAATAGAAGTGAGAGCAACTGAATGGTAATCATTAAGGCATGTAATTATAGATTTTTTTTCGGAGACTGCTACAAAAATTGCAGTCTTAAAATGATGGAATCATAGCCTAGTGCGGTGAAAGATTGAAGATGTCTGTAAGAACAGAGGTCAGCTAGTCAAAACACTCAAGTAATTGCCCAAGGATATTATCAGGACACACGGCCTTTTGTGTATTGACTTTTCATAGGATCTTCCAAATGGCAGTTGTATTAAACCTGAGCACTAGTTCGTCAGGCAGGGGAACAGCCTTTCTTGTTGGAACATTATTTGAGGCCTCAAACTGTCAAAAAAAAATGTTTTTTTAGCTTATTTAGGAAATCCATGTCACTCTTACATGTTAGGGAAGCTTCTGTATAGTCAATAATAACCTAGATATCTTGCCACATGTGCCTAAGGCCCATAGGATCTTGAAAAAAATATGTACTGTCTGACTATAGGCCTGCTTTGCTGTTTTTGCAAATCATCTCTTGCTATAGTAAGTGCTGCCACATTGCCTGATATAAAAGCGGCATTTTTCACCTTCAATATCACATGTACAGCCAAGGTTTCTCTCATTTGCCCGCATAACAATAGTCTTAAGAACACTAATTAAAGACTCTCGTGGGAAGGAAATAGCAAGAAAAAGAATGGATGGGTGGAGAAACAGAAAAACCAGCAAGTGATTTTGGAATTGCCTTGTCTCCTGATGCATGGAAATACATTTAAAGATACAGTTGGAATTCTTGATAGCAATACAGCAATCCTCTCTGTGTGTGTCTGTGTGTGCTTTCAAGTCATTCTTGATTCTTGATAACTGCCTGGACTACTGCCTGCAGTTACCTTGGCAACAGTTTCAGAAGTTGTTTGTTATTGCCTTCTTCCTATGGCTGAGAGATAATAACTGGCCCAAAGTCACTCAGCTGGCTTCATGTCCAAGGCAGAACTAGAACCGAGTTCCTGCTTTTAGTCTGGTGCATAATCATTATGCTAACCTGGTTCAAAGGCAGATTTTATTATTTTCTCCACAACAATAACCCTATCAGGTGAGGTGGACTGAGAGAGAGTGACAGGCCAAGGTTACCCATCCGGCTTTCATGGCTAAGGTGGGACATGAAGTCATGGTCTCCTGCTTTCTGGCCTGGTGCTTTAACCATTAGTCCAAACATCTCAACCACTAGACCAAACAATGCCTAGCCAAACATATACATCTTGCCAATTTAGTGAAGGGGACATAAATTTGAGAAAATTGAACAAAAAGGTCAAGAGTTTGTATGGAGTATTTTGCAGTGAAAGTAACAAAGAGAGATTAAGTTATTTAGTGTGCACAAAGCTGTTTCTAATGCCATGAATCATGATTCACTGTATAGCAGGACCTCTGTTTTCTAAACTTGCTGATTATATGAATTCCCATCCTGTATTTTCTCTTACTATTTTTTCAAGCATCATTAAAGCAGCATTCATCTTATTCCAATCTTAGTGATTTTAGTAAATGAAAAGTAAGACAGTGCTCACAATCTGAAGTTGTTAGTGTAGTAATCTAGAATGTACATTTGAACATTGCCGTCTTACATTGTGGCTAAATTTGATTTTTTGTTAACCGCACTTAACTTTCAAAGAACTTTTGCTTCAAAAGAACAATCTTTGCAGTTATTCATCTTGATGAGTTGTGTCATGAGTTGTGTCATCAATACACTAGCACGACACCAGAGGTGGAATTCAGCAGGTTCTGACCAGTTCTGGAGAACCGGTAGCAGAAAATTTGAGTAGTTTGGAGAAAGTGGACATGAATATCAGCTGTCTGGGGAAGTGTTTGCCACAAGTGCCCTATCACCCATCAAAGAACTGCAAATTGATGCCTGGATTACATTTTAGAAACCATGTATCAAGGATTGAGTTTACTTATCTTGTTTTTTGTGTAGGCACTTACCCAAATTTGGTCTCCTCTGTAATTTTTTTCCTGATAATCACAGATATGTACAGGATTAGCCCAATGATGACAACTCCACATATAAATCCAAGGACTATTGTAAGTGAATCTGTATTTCTAGATTCTAGTGTTGTAGAAGGTGCAACAGATATCAAACCTATAAGAATAAGACAAGTTACAAAGAAAAGGAGACTGCCATCTTGTTATAGTTAGCGGGGAGCATTATTTGAAAATTCATGGAAGGGAGGGAGGGAGGGAGGGAAGGAATCTTTATTATAACCAAAATGTTAGAAATAAAAGGTATACTAAAACAATGAAAAGGAGAGGACTGAAGACAAATGTGATAGTTGATGTGAAAAGCATGTTATAACTCTGGGATTCATGTCTGATTTTCATAGCTGCTGCACAATATTTTGCTATGGTCTGAATTATAAATGATTTGTAATCTGAGAAAAGGTTGAATATATGAGTATTGTCAGATTGCCCATGACACTAATATAAAACAATAAATTACAGATATTTCAAAAATTCCTGTAGATCCCAAACTATCATTCCTGTAATTGTTAACTAGACAAAACAGTGCATCTTAGTGCAACATGTTTTGAACCAAAGTATCTTAAATGGACTAATGCACAGCATTCAAAATCTGGGACCTATCACTCCATAGAACTGAAATTTGGTAAATTTTATAAAATATAAAACATGTACCCCAACTTTTCAAATGTACTGCATTGAAGAATCCAATAAGGATGTATCTCTGAAACAATGATCCAGAGATTCACTAATTGTCTCATAGTAGGATAAAGTAACATGGATTGGACAGCTCTAGTTCCACATGGAGAAACATATGTCTCAAATGGAATTTTAGAACATCTTCTCTGTAGTAATGTTAAAGGGAAAATTTTATGCTTTGCCCAGAAAAAAGCTTTCATAAGTTTGGAGAATATCAGTGAGGAGGTTGGGAATTTGATTGTTTCCCCAAAACCTTTGTCACCCAAATCTATGGGTGACAAGGTATTCACTGCTACTTGAAATTCAACATTTTAAATTTTTTGGAGAAGTGTGTATTTGGTATAGTCATAGCCCAAAATTCACAGAAACCCTAATAGTTACTCACAAGTTATTATTAGTTTTGTTCTTTGACACTGTTCCAATTTAAGGAGCTATTATCAGTTGTCATTACAGTAATCCCTAACCTCAATATTTCTAACCTGAGGAGTCCAAATTCCAAAATTTCATCACCAAAATATTCAGAAAACCACAAAAGGAAACAGTGGCACTAAGCTAGCAAATAGGACATTGTGAGTTCTAATGCAACCTTATCCATGAAGCTAACTGAGTAAACTTGGTCCAGTTATTCCCTCTTCACCTTAGCAAAATGACAATGGCAAGCCACTTCTAAAATCTTGCCAAGAAGACTACAGGGATTTGTTCAGGTGTTGCCAGGAACCAAGACTGACTTGAAAATGTCCATGTGTGTGGCATGCGCACACGCGCGCGCGCGCACACACACACACACACACACACACACCACATGCTGAGGACACTTTTTCCCCATAAAATTCAGGGCAATTGCAATGCAGTTGCTCATTTCCTGGACCTAACCTATATGGCTTTTCTAACATGTGTTTTCTTAGAATCTTCCTATAAAGATTCTTCCTACTGACTATAGCAATATAGATGCTGAGAATTTCAATTCATACTGAATTTGGAGCTTTTCATATAAAAAGCTAGTGTTCTATTGTTACACTGTGGCTACATGACTAGAATTTCAACAACTTTATTTTGCATTACTTTTGTTCTCAAACTTAACTCATATCACTGTATTGATCTGACTTACCATTGCTTGGAATGAACATTGCTACAGGGTCGCTGAAAGGCCCAACTCCACCATTAGTGACAGCAGCTACTTGCACTATGCAGGTGACATTTGTGGTCATAAATGGAATATGAATGACATTCGTATCTTTACTGGTAGAAAAAGAGTGATTCTTCTGTGAAGAGAAAAATAATTTTTATTCTATCTAGTGGACAAGTTTCATAGGTACCTGACAGTTTTGCCAATAAATGTTTGCCTTTATTTGCTTACAAATAAGCTTAACAGATACTTGCTAATACCAGCACAATAACTATATATTCATGTACAGTAACTATCTTGATAACTATAGTACTTCAAGCACTAGATAGGAACAACAAAAAAGTTGACAATGAGTTATTTAAATCTATTTCACTGTTGTTTGGAACCCATACTAAAATTTTTCCCATTGTAAACAATAAACAGCTGTGGGCAATCAAATTAACTCATTACAAATCTGTCATCTGACTGGCAGACAAAATAGTAAAAAAGTATAACTTAACATAAAAACAAACAAAGCACATTGTAGGAAGCAGTTTGTACAATTGATCTTTTTTATATTTCCATGCTCAGTCTTCTTCCCTGCCTAATTACAAAATCAGAAAATCTGTTGTTTGCTTCCATCATGCTAATTGTATAATCCCTGATGGTTTAGAACTGATGTGTCATTTAAACTGATCCTTGGTGTATTGTTTTAAAAAGAAGCAAAAAGGAATAGATTTAATTTCTACAAAATAGAAAACAGAAGAAAAAAGAAAAGAAATTGGACAGGCAAATCTGTGGGGAGTCCTAAGACAACTTAATATCAAATAATAATTTGCCAACAATCATTTGATTAACCTTCTAGAATAGTGTGCAATCTCTGCCTGCTTACTTGAGAAAAAGTCCAAGTGGGCAAAATAGAATTTACTCCTATCTACACATGTACAAGGTGAAATTGGCAAGAATACTTACTAATTGTTCTGACCCAGCCTTCGCAAGCAATGAGAAACCACTTACTCATGAGTAAAACAACCCCTTTTAAAACAGGATAGGAACATTATTTCCTAGCAGGGAGACTCCGTTGGCACCTCAAATTCACAGCAATTAAGTCCTGACAAATCTGGTTCTGGCAAAGGAATCCAACTTGATTGATGTACAAGGAAAAACGAACAACAACAGGCCACTCCCAAACCCCTACTATTTATTTCCCAGCCAGAGACTAGCACCTACAACTTCTTTTCCCTGAGAGCCAGCTTATTGCCTTCCGTTGCTCTCCTCTCCTCTCTAGGCATACACGCATCTGGGATGGCCAGCCCCCATCTGCTCCTCCCCATCACTGAGCTCAGATCTGCAGACAGCTACCTCTCTACCTGGGGATGGACAGAAGGCCCCGGTTCTGCATCTGCCTCTGATTCTGCTTCATCATCAGAGCCTTGAAAGGCTCTCCTCCTCATCTGACTCTTCTGCTAGCTCTGCTGGCAGCCAACAGGCCACAACACTAATGACCTGAAAATCTCAAAAAGGTTACTACTGTAATATAGTCAATGACAATATTATTTCAACAAGTACTACCTACTATATTTGTGATTTCAATGAAATCAAAGAAATATTTAAGTTATATCTTTTGTCTGTTTTAAATATCACCCTGATGGAATGCCGTTTGTGAGGAAATGAGTATTTGGAGATTTCATCTACTTTCATCTAGTTTAGTCATAATAGCATCAAACAGAAAAATCTGCAAACTTAGGCATCAACCTGCCAATTAGATATGGGTTCCATCTGATAGCATTAGCACGTCCAACTTGAAATAAATTTCTGTTCCTGTAAATTTTCAGTAGAGTCTATGAATCAGCTGAAGAACTGGGAAAAAACCCTAAACAGTTCTTGTAGGTACCACCTCCTAGTAAATTGTCACCTAGTCTCCACCCTCCACATTTTCTGTGACTCATAATGCAGCTGACAAACTAGTTTAGTATGATAACATGGTTGAAGGATAGAGCTGCTACTGTTGAAGCCAGTATAAAAATTCTCTGTAAATAGGAACTAAGAAAAAATGATTAAGGCTGCAACTCTGAGAAAATAAATTTGTCAGAAAGATTTTTTCTTTTTTTATATAAATAATTTTATTTAAAATTACAGTTATACAGATTAAAAATTAATACAAAGTACAAAACATTTTAAAAGCCAGTTTGGTCTAATGGTACTACACTACTACGCTAAAACCCAGGAGACTGTGACTTCCAGTCCTGTCTTAGGCATGAAAGCTAGCTGGGTGACCTTGAGTGAATCTTGTTCTTTCAGCCCACCTCAGCTCCCAAATAGAGTTGGGAAAATTGTGGGGAAAATAGGAGGGGGAAGGAGTAAGATATGTTGTGACTTCCCCTTTATCACAAGTCTTAATAATTTTAACAACTTGAACAACCTTCTTGTAAAATGTAGCAAACAATCTCTTTATCCATATCTCATCCCTTATTTTAAACAGATCCTTAACAGCCTGTCCTTCAGTCCTGGTCAGCAAAAGTCATAAGGGTTACCAGACATAACATAATCTATCACAGATATATCAAAAAGGAAAAGTTAAAAAAAAGACAGGCTGGGATTATCAGGAAAAGTATGATAAAATGGGAATAAGTAGTTTATGTCAACTTAAATAATTGCAATCAGAGGAACTTCATAAGATACAGTGATAAAAATATCCTTTCATGCTGAATATTTATTCAAAAATAAGTTCTATGTTCAATAGGATATATCCCTTTGTAAGAGTGCAAAATAAAGTATTTATCATCCACTATAGATCATTTTTTACAAATAATTTGTCATAATTTTTTTATCTATTTTATTTATTACATTTTTATGCTGCCCATCTCCCCTGTAAGGTGACTCTGGGCAACTCTTTTTTTTTTTTTTTGGAATTTATTTATTTATTTTTATTTATTTGATTTGTCAATCGCTTACAAGATAATAGGTATAAGTATATACATAGTTATGAATACATGAAATGGGTACATATATAAGAAAAATAAAAGAAACAATAGGACAGGGACGGTAGGCACGTTGGTGCGCTTATACACGCCCCCTGTAGACCTCTTAGGAAAGGAGTGAGGTCAATAGTAGACAGTCAAAGGTTAAAGTTTTTGGGGTTTGGGGAAGAAACCACAGAGTCAGGTAGAGTATTCCAGACATTGACCACTCTGTTGCTGAAGTTGTATTTCCTGCAATCAAGTTTGGTGCGGTTAACCTTGAGTTTGTATCTATTGTGTGTGTTAAGTATGGAGAATAATGGAGACCAGACATCTGACCAGTGACT